CCTCCATGGCGGGATAATTCTATCATGGGTCCTTGAGGGGTTTAACAGACTCCCGGCGGCTTCATATTTGTAGAGCCGGCAGCTGGCTTTACAGTAGAAGCGATTCTGGCGACTCAGATGTCGCCAGACCGCTTCTACAGGCCGGTGAAGTGCCCCCTCCATGTTTCCTGGGCTCCGCTGCTCTGCCGTGTTTCCAGGGCCTCCTGTGGGCCCGGGACCGGCATCTCGGGTGTCAGCAGGAAGCTGGGAAGGAGAGCGGCGAACCTCCGTTCACCAATCTCCTCCCTGTTCTATGTGACCGGGAGCGACGCGTATTGCATCATTTCTGGTCCCTGAGCTGTCATTGTTGGGCCCTTGAAGCCCAGCAATAAGCTATTAAAGTGCAATAATGCACCTTAATAGCTTATTTAGAGTGGAAAGGTGATATTGGGGGTCTTTTGGACCCCCAGTATCACCTTAAAGCAGGGGTAGCAAACCTCCGGCCCTCCAGGTGTGGTGAAACTACAAATCCCATGATGCATCTCTTCGGGAGTCATGACTGTGGATTTGAGAATCTTGCAATGCCTCATGGGATTTGTAGTTCCACCACAGCTGGAGGGCTGTAGGTTTGCTACCCCTGCCTTAAAGATTACCCGTCACCACCAATATGCTATCACATGGGGGGTTTGTTAGCCCACGTACGTGATAGCACTTAAAAGGTTAACACGTTTTTTTATTATTTGTACATTTATTAAAAGTTGTTTTTTTTTTTTAAGTCCCTTGCCTCCGTGCGCCTTCAAGTAAACAACGATTGCGCTACACATGTTGGGTATCGCCGCACACGCCAGCGTGAGATAAATAATTATAGGACTAATATTTACACGCATCTCTAAACTGATGACCTGTTTGGGCTTTTAAAGCGTCGTCTATGGACTTTTTGGGGTACTGAATTTTGTCGCAGTTTCACAGATGCACACAATTTTTAACCTGGGCATGTTGGGTATCTATTTACTCGTAACCTCATTTTTCTTTAAATATAAAAAGGGGGGTTAGTGTTTTAGGGTACTAAATTTTACTTAAGTGCATTTTTCGCTAAATGTTGGGGTTTGGTCATAAGTGGAGCCAATGTCGTGCAACATTTTATTCTACAGGGTATTGGCTTTCACAAAATATATAATATTTGGGGGTTTTAAGTAATTTGTAGGCCTAAAATGTGGATTATATCATGTAAGGAACGGGAAAAAAAAAAAAAAGGCCTTGGTTCTTAAGGTGTTAATATTTTTCTAAAGCTAAAAGCTGAGGCAGCCACTCAAAGGAAAAAAATCAATAGCACTGACTTTCTGGAAAATGTATTTTTTTTCAAATGAAATATGCATCCGTATAATATGTAAAACTGAATTATGCTTAAATTGCGCAACTTTTTCATAAGTGCCACTGCTGCTGTAAATAGTAGTGTCACATGAATAATCGACAACAAGTGTGAATAACGACAACAAGCGTCTTGCAAAGCAAGTCATAGCTGTCAGTGAATGGAATGTGCATTTCGAAATGAGGTTCAGTTGGTATAAACAACTTGCTGAGCTTCTTATTGGGACTTGCAAAGTATATTTAGTCCCCTGAAATTAAAGTAAAAAGGTTGTTAAAGACCAAAGACAACCGCCTTGGCCTGTATTTATACGCTGAGCTTACAGATGGTTTTTATATGCCCATTGTACTCTAGTTTGTCCAAGTAGTATGTGATACTGAAAGTGCTGTATATGAAGTTATTTCACTCTATAATCTAGAGATTGGACTTTCATACCCTGAGCCAGAACTGCAGAGGTTGTATCTACTGCCCTAACTGCCACTTTCAGGGAGATCCATCTGTTTCCCCAAAGGAGGAGTACTGAGTAATCTCCAAGCCACTGAGTCAAAGACTTTTCTTGGTGAATCTGGTGACCCCTCTCCTTCCTGTGCACACTCATGTGATGTACCTGCTATTACATGCCTAGGGAGCGCCTCATTTTCAAATTTACATGTTTATATTCACATGCATGAGTAAAACAATGAAAAAAACAGCTGGTTCAGATACGTGCTTAAACCCCTGCTAAGGGGAAGTTCCTGAAGCTCTCAGGCTAAGAGCTCAGCATATGACTTTATTCAAGGCCTGAGGTGGCCCAAACATTTCTGCAGCCAATGGATGCTCTTTTTTAACCAGCACTCAAGGGTTTACCACCCTTCTAACAAGGATAACAAAAAGGATGGCTTGAAATATTCTGAACAATTTACAAAAGGAACATATATACTAGTTCTGCATATTTAATTTATTTAACTATGGTCCGTACTAAAAGTTTTTTTTAAATATCAGGTTAAGGGATGACTCCCTAATACAGTGGTGTCCAAACTGAGGGCCACAGACCAGATGTGGCTGTATGCTTACCTGTATCTAGCCATTGGGGTACTATTCCTCCCTCTGACACAATGAGGTGCTATTTCTCCAACCGACACTAAAATGTGGGGCATAATCCCCCCCGGCAACAACAACTTTGGGGTACTAAACCACTCACTGATACCAATGTTGGGGCACTGTTTTTTCTACTGACAAACAATGGAGCACTATTTCTTCTTCCACTGTTAGCACAGATGGGGCATCATGCCTCCATAGCCAACCATCTATGTTGCATTTTTTACTCCCACTGACCTCCTAGCATTAGGCAATGTTTACTCCTCATTATTCTGGGCAATTTTCTAAAGGACAGTGTACTGGCTCTTTGGGGACCCCTGCTCTAATACAAAGGTTAACAGTCTATATTTACCTTATTGTAACAAAGTCTTATACTGAAAACAAGAACAACATGTGTTGCTGCACATGACCAATCAAGCTTTATATTTTATGCTCATGGAAAAATGAAATAGTCCCCTTAATCTTTACCTTTTGGGACCTAAATTTAAAGCAGCGGGAAGGCCTTACCGCAATAAAAAAGGTAAGAAAATGAATGTCGGTAAAGCTCTGTGCTTTACAAGTATGTGTAGCACTACTTGCTTTGGAGCTCCAAAGAAAGCGATGCCCCATTCAATATAAGGAATGAAAAAAAGTAAAAGGAGGACAGCCCCTTCACATGACCTGCCAAAGTCACACAGGGAGCCCTCCCCTGACCATGGTAAGCAGAGAAGACACCATGGGACACTGCAGGCTCCACACCATGTGAATTATTCATAAAATGCAGATGCTGTATGGAGTCAGCACTTTAGTGTCCAGTGGAGAAAGGTTATCGATACTCGCTTTCTATTATAAATGGCCTCCAGTGTTTCTTCCATTTGTAAACGGAACACTTCCTTAACTACAGAAAATTCAGGAGAAAGTATTTAGTAAAAGAAATGACAGAACAGGTACGCAAGCATTTTAATATCACCAACTCACTGCGTTCTGTAGTTAAAGTATCTGGTATGTGTATATAATGAATTGATGGTTTCAGCAAGACCTTCCGTTGAATTGATGGTTTCAGCAAGACCTTCCGTTGAATTGATGGTTTCAGCAAGACCTTCCGTTGAATTGATGGTTTCAGCAAGACCTTCCGTTGAATTGATGGTTTCAGCAAGACCTTCCGTTGAATTGATGGTTTCAGCAAGACCTTCCGTTGAATTGATGGTTTCAGCAAGACCTTCCGTTGAATTGATGGTTTCAGCAAGACCTCCTCTAGAGTACTTATGCTTCAGTGACTATGAAAAGGAGACAGCCCTTTCACAGAACTTGCCAATCCCTGCGACGTTGGTAGTCACGTTGGGTTTCAGCAAACAGTCCCGGGACAGCAAGTGCTTATGCCAGACATCGTTGAGGATATCATCAAGGCATAAGTTCTCTTTACATCATGACACTGCCAGAATGCCATGAATGTGCAATAAAGTGCACATGTGCTGGTGACATTATCGGGATCAATAATAGTGATATCTTGGGAAAAGTATGTATTATATGCTTTTAGACCAGAACAAGTGGCATTCTTGACTTTACTTCCCCTTTAAAATAGAACCATTGCCTCCTATTAAAATATATATATATGCAGCATCACTTAATATGTTCAAATGTCTCTTGTCCCCTGGCAAAGTCCCACAAATACTTGTTGAGTCTGCAAGTGAAGTCCATCTTATGTAGCTTCAAGCAATGGTGTGGCAAGGCAGTTGCACTTCTGAATTCAGAGGAGAGTTGCCATTCCTATGATGGCTGTGCCAGCCTGCACTACAGTGTTGCAGGGGGTGCGGCTTTTAGCATTGTCACTGCTGATTGACAGGCCTGCAACTTAGCCACATCTAGAACTGCTCTCCGCTTTCTGAATTGACAGCACTTCCTGTTACTGAATCTCTCCGTCTATGAGCTCCAGTGCCTGGGATGGGAAGCACGTGACACAAATGGAGGATTTGGCTCAGTCAGGGAAGGTAAAGGATTATGTTTTGTGTATTTTATAGGGCTAGTAACTGGATTTGGGACTTTAGATTGTAATATAAGATCTTATAGTTGCACTTTAATTCATTGTGTCGAGTGAAAACTCCGGTATTTTAAAGTGACACTCCACTTCAGTGAATCTAGATTGCATATTCAACCCCTTTTAAACGGAATTAAAAATACATAATTTCAATAAACTTCCTCAAATTCAGTGTTGAGTGCCCATTATTTTCTTTTCCAGTGTTGTAAAAAGAGAAGCAAAACATCCCAAAGGTCAAAATATTGGCAAAGACATATGGCATACTTCTATAAACCAAACCAAAGAGCAAAGGATGCCTGAAATTTCACCTCAAACTCTGTGCAGACTGTTCGGAACATACAGTGAGCCAGTTACACAAACAGGAAGTGAGAGTTAATTCATAAATGAACTGTGTACAGAATGCCCCCAAAACTGAAGAGTTTGAAGTATATGCCTGTTTACAATAACCTCAGCTGTCTGCTTCATGAGATAGATCATTTATTTCAGTACATTAGAAAATCACATGTATTGCAGTTCAAGGTTTTAAAAATATTTTACACAGGTGTTTTCTTCAGAGTAACTTACCAATCGTCAGGTCATGAACAGGCTGGAACCTCTTGTCTGTGAACTGTAATAGTAGACAAGATTTGCCAACACCTATAAAAGGAAAGAAAAATAAACATTAATAATAGAATCCTTATGCTAGTCACATTTGCACCAATAAAAGCAAGCAATGCAATTTCAACCACTGATTCTGACAATCATGGTATGGAGCAACTCTGATCAATGAGGTCATGTATTGAAGACATCTTTCAACACTAAAGTCAATTGCTTCCTTTTCTAGAGAAGAAAGCAATTACAACTTTTAGAATGTGTGTGCCACATCCATCCATCAGGCTGTGACAGATCCCAGGCGCTAGTCTTGAGAACAGGCAGATGTCCCAACTGTCATTTTTGAGAAGAAATCTAACCAAGCTCCCACACCTGTATACACCAAAACAATGTACTGTGATACTGATATGGCAACAACATTGTCATTACCTATTAGCAAAGCAATATTCTTTTCAATGGGATGCTACAAGCAAAAAAATACTTACCTCGGCCTTGCCTCCAAAGCTTCCCAGTGAATCATCGCTGCCTTCGGGGAGAGCTGGGTGCTTAAAAATCCAACGAGAATGAAATCCAGACCCCTGCAATTGTACAACCTCATGGGATTTCAAGCTCCTAGATCTGACAGAAGTTATGATGTCACCTATGTCTCCCAGAAGCGTTGGAGGCCAGGTACACTGTCCTGCCTTCTGAAGGGTGGCTACTTTTGTTCCCCATGGTCCGTATGTTGCCAACGAGCCACCACTTAAACCTCACTCCCGTGATGGAATACAAATCAGTGAATGTGAGATTATACACAAATAAGCTACATTGTTGTCATTAGTTAAGATACTAGAATGCATTTGTAAAGTTTAAATCCAGAGATTAGCGAACACTGAAAAGCTGACCTTTCAGTCAGTGGTCAAAGCATCTTGAGGGTTTCCTGCTCATAACTTTTCAGTAACTATGTCTCAACTCATTATAAGTGACTTCTTACACAGTTCGCATATTTATCATGTGATTTATTATGTTCACTACTTGAGCAGAACACAAACTTCAAGGAACATCTCATCACACATTTAAAAAGGTTTCTGAGAAGAGAGTGAGATGGTATGAATGTTTTTTTTGGACTTAATTTGTTGATAGCTACTTATGCGATGACAAAGTGAGTGGGCCCATAATGTCAAATCAAACAACTTACCAATAATGCTGATGAATACGTAACACACACACACACACACACACACACACAGGTGACATCTATCCATTTTGTACTGAGTGGCGGCGCCATCCGCGGTCACTGTGAGCACCCCCCTCATCCAATTTTAGGTTTTTTTCGCAGTAAGGAGTGCGATAAGGTATCTTTTTTTGTTTGTTAACATGTGCCATAACGCAAATGAATGCAAGGCAGAACAAATAGCTTAGTGCATTTAAAAAAAAAAAAAGCAACGCCAACATACTATGGCAACGCAAGTGAATGCACTTGTGTTGAGTCACGTAAATGCACACATTTCAGTATGACTGCACCCCTTAAAGTGTAGTTCCACTTTTGCAGTCAAATTTGAGAAAACCCCTCTATATGTTTATCATGTGTTCCCATTCACACAACACACCAAAGAACCTAAAACAAATAGATTTATTTTCTAGCTTTTTCGTGATGAAGGCTTTGTACAGATTCCAGGCTACTCTGAGCAGTTTGAGAGTGAAACTAGATGGTCAGACTGAGGTTCCTCTCAACACACAATGCTTGGACGCTTTAACCCTTTGTTAGGACAGTGTTCAAATGTAGTTTACAACTGATAATGAAATCTGCAAGCACAGTACAGGCAGGGTTAACTAGAGTAATCATAAATTCACATAGCCCCCTCTTAACCAGTTGACATCCGCGGTGTTAAACCCCCTTCCCATCCAGGCCATTTTTCAGTATTCAGCGCTGCGGTACTTTAACTGACATTTATTCCGTCATGCAGCGCTGTACTGAAATTAATTTTATACCCTTTTTTGGGGACAGATAGAGCTTTCTTTTGGTGGTATTTATTCACCACTGGGGGTTTTATTTTTTTACTATATTAAAGGAAAAATTACCGAAATTTAAAAAAAAAAACAGTTTCCCCTATATTAAATGATAAAACATTTATTATTACCCAATTTTTTGGTAAAATATAAAAGATGGGG